CAATGTGAATGGAAGTAAAATGTATGTGCATATATACAATTCACTATTTTGTGTACAAGCAAAATTTATCAGTCACTTTAACGAATTACCGTCGACTTTAGTGACTGATATTTTGGCGGCAAACATTTAATCTCTAATCCGTCTCTAAATGGATTATTTCTTTTATATCTCCGGTTGTGATCATTTTGATAGTATAAAAATATTTTCGCAAACAATACATCACATTTAAACTTTGTTTTAAGCATCCAATTTTTCTTGGCAGATAACTTTAACAATATATTTTTTATTTTAATTTTCTAAATAGTATTTATATCTCACATTTAAGATACTAAAATCTATTTAAGAAATTGACATCTTTCAACAGTTTTTTTTTCATACATTTCAACCGGTGATTGAGTTCTTAAGCAAAGAAAAATTATCTATTAACAACATCACACCTTGTTAGTAAAGTATTAATTTTATACTTTATTAAAATTTATCTTTTATTATTTTTATGTTTCAAAAGTTTTATGCCTTCATCACTATTTCTCACTATTATCAAATATCATTTTTTTATAATATAGAATTATCAAAATTATAACATAAATTTGTTTATATTATATTTTTTAATTTATTATTTTAAAGATAATTTTACATACATGATAAAAAGAAAAAATTATTCATGTAAATTAGAATAACAATAAGTCTATAAAAAAAATCGAACCTAAATTCATGTATCTATTACTCATCTTCCATTATACCTAACGTAATGGTTGGTATACACATGAAGATATGATTAGAGAAGACAGTGTAAATGTTTCGTATTGAGTCATTTGTTAGTGAAATTGGAATATATCCGAAAGAATGAGATTGGTATAAATGCGCGCGTGAAGGGTCACTAAACCCCCCTAAAGTTTCTTTCTTAAAAATTGAAGTCACAGGTTACAGAAAGGTTCCTTACAATCCAAAGGCCAAGTCAAATTGCTTTTTGATTTTGAGAGATTCCTTTTTTATTTTTTAGGAGATTCTTGACTATGTGTATGTGGTTTATATGATGGAGCCAGCCTCAACCACAACACATGCCCGATCCATTCCTCCAATTCCGCGTTTTTATATATTCCTTTTCTGTTACTCTTCTTTTTTCTTTTCCCTTTTACCATTATCTAATGAATAAATGTCATAAACATTATTTGATTTTCTTAAATTTAATTATTTATACGTGATAAGTTTATTATTTTTATAATAATAACCTTATAAATTATACAATAATATTTTTTAATTAATTAGTATTGCAAAGTTTATACTAATAGAGTACCGTACATACGTATAAACTAAACTCTGATTTAATAACAATGTACAGAATAATAATATACGAAGATCTAAAGCAAAACGGCAGGAGAGCAAGCTGTAAACGCGTTTTGTTTTTGAATTTGTTCTTTAAAGCATGTCGCTTTTGGCTTTATTGCTTTTGAGAAAGACACATTTGGGATCTTTTCCCTTCCATTTTAATTTATTCTTTCTTGGGACGAGGCTGTGCTCTTAATCAAAGCTCCATTATAACGGAGTTTAGATCAGCTAATCGAGAAAGGTGTTTGAGTGCTATGAACTTTTTTCTTTTTTTTTTTTTGAGAAAAATTTAGTTATATATCAAAGATAAAATAATAAAAAAATATATAAATGAGAAAAAACTTTTATTTTAAAAAATAATTTTACAGAATTAAATTAAATTTATAATTCACATATAATATTATAACTATCTAGATTAATACATATCAAGTTTGATAATATTAAATATGATGAAGTATGTCGATAATTAAAAAAGATCTTATTTATTTTTTTAATATATTAATGTTGATAACTTCATACACAACACAACCTTAACTCTTAAGTTATTATGCATACAATTCAGTATAGTGTATTTTATTAAATTATTTTTAAAAATATAATTAACTTAAAAAAAATGATATATAAAATTATTTCTTTAAGAGTTAGCCTTATAATAACTTAGTTTTTTATATTTATTTTTTAGTTCACACTAGTATTATAAGACTCCGTCTTAGATTAATTTGACTTAGTTGAGAAGTAAGTAAAATCTGGTCAAAAAAATATTTTTACTAAGGATCAAACTCGGGAACTAGCAAAACAATTCGACCTTACTACATTAATAACTTGTATCTAACTCTTACTATATTTTTTAATCTCTCTTGTATTTTTTCACTCACACACATATAGAGAGGGGTGTAATCCACTTACTCTAAGAGTAATTTAATCTATAATTACTTCACTGAATAACTTGTATTTAACATCAAATTTTAACAACCTTACTGTTGAATTAAAAATTGTTAATGTATAGGTTAAGTCTGAAAAAATTTTAAAATTATTTGATATTTAATTTCATAAATTCAAATAAATGTATAAAATATTTTTCGTGATTATCTGTTAATTTAAATTAATAAAATGAAATATCAAATAGTTTTTTAATTTTTAAAAAATTACAAATTTAACCTATGTATTAAAAAAATTTAATTTAATAATTAAATCGGTAACATTTGACACAAAATATGAAATATTGAGTAAAATGAATTTAAATAAACTTACTTTTGAATAAATGGATTTTTTTATGTATCTAATACTTTCTCTTTATATATATACATAAGATAGAGTTTGTTATCACACTATATTTCATAAGAAGTGCGTTGACAAATTATAATTACAATTATCTTAAAATGCAACTAAAATATACTTTGTTAGTATATCCATTTTCAAAAATAAGAGAATGTTCAGGAAAACAAATTGTGCCACTTTATTTTAAAAATTAAATAAAAAGAGAGAAAAAAAATCGACGAGTGATTAACGTGTCACTCTATTTAATAAAATAAAAGAGAGAAAAAAACTTTATAAAAAATGTGTAAAAGAGGGAATGATTTAAAAATAATTATAAAGTAAAACAGTTAAAATAAAATAGAATCTTATGCATATAGTAATAAAGATATCCTAGCTTATTTTTAAAAATAATATTTTTAACATGGTATAGCTCTAATTTTTTAAAATACACTTAAAGAATAATTTGCTGACTTAGTTTTTCTATATAAAAAAACAAATAAAGTAGATATAAGCTAACAAATATCTTAATTATATTATACACAAGCAAGCCGATAGCCGTTGAGGTTGACTGTTTTGACAAATAATATAACTTTTTAGCTAAAATTTGACTGCATAATCTGCACTCCTGTTTTAGTCCCCACCCCAGATGACCAGATCAATTAGCTAGATATGTTTCCATTATTTCAATGACAATAAATGTAAAAGTGCCTATCAAAAGCATGCATATAAAAATACAAATAAATTAATTAAATTAAATAACTCTACTCAACAAACATCTGACTTCATCCATGTTAATGATTTAAAAAAAAAAAAAAAAAAAAGAGTGGAATATGAACTCTAAAATTTTGAATAAAAATTCAGAGGATTCAATAATGATTTCACACATTATTATTGTTATGATTTAATTACACGTTTTTTTAGTTATCTCTTCTATATTTTTACAAATTTTGTCATCTTACACCTAAAATTATATATTTTATCATATTTTTTAAAATTATATACATTTTGTCCTATATTAACTAATTATTTAACGTTATTAATAGCGTATTAACCAAACATGTCAATTATTTACATAATATATTGTTTACTCATATCATTCTTCTTATGTATATGACATATTATCCTTTATTATCCAACTGATTTTTAAAATTGTAAATAAATATAAATTGATTTTATGATTTTTTTTAATTTAAAAAATGGTTACTAGATTATTCTACACCATTTTTTAAAAAAAATTATAACAAACAGTCTCCAATTCACGTCTAATATAGCAATGATCTTATCCACCTATGCATGATGCATTGAAACATGGAAAAATTTGATTCTATATATTTGAATAAGATTTTAAATATATTATATTGCATAAAGTTTTTAACTAATACTTTAAAGTTAATAATAGGATTGTTGTACATGTTGAGAGACATATTCATAATTATTCAGTATTATTAAAAGGTTTGTTTATATTAAAATTTAAAACAATATAAATAATTTAAACATTTTAAAAAAAATTATCCAATTCTCTTATACTTAATACTAATGGTTAGTGCATGTCAGCATCTATTACTAAACTTATTGAAACCGTGGAATTGGAAACCTTTGTGGCTTCCTATGGTGAAAGATAACAACAGATTCATGAGACTGCCCCATACTAATTTGTCTCGGCCTAATTACGAGGGAAATGGACGATTAACGGTGGGTCGCTTGCATTAAAAATGATAACTTTTTTACTTTTCAAACGGTGGACGAATAAAGAAGATCCAAATGGTAAAGTGGAGATTTTTCTTGATGACGGTGCTACGAGGGAAAATCAAATACAGAGAACGTCCATGTCGATGCAACAAATTGATCTGGTGGAAGGTGTAGTAGTCACTATTCAGAGTGGGTGGGGTGTCAAGGACAGGATACCATCCCAGTTGGATTTGGGTCTGCACTTCTAACTTCTAACACTGACTTACCCATCATGCATTGCATACTTTAGTTACCTCCCACACATTCCCCTTTTCTGTTGCCCATAGTATTTTTATAAATAATAATAATAAAAGAGAGAAAAAATTAAAAATGCAGTGGACTGACCTCTGGTAACGTTGACTCAAGTCTGAATGAGATAATCATGGGGTTGATGTCCAAGATCTCTTACATGAGATGAGGTAATGATTATTTGTAGTAAATGGTTGACCACAATTAGACTCCCATAAATATTGATTAAGGTAAGTTTTTGAGTGAACTACTCATGTAATAATATGTAGTAGTGTTAATTTAATACCACTTAGTTCAATGATCTAGCTTATCTTAAAAATATTGTTTTAAAAGCATAATAACTTTAAAAAAAAATAAAAAAAATTCGAGGGTTGGCTAAGACATTTCAACTCTCTGGGCTCCCTTTAAATAGCGAAGGTCCCTCTCTCGTAATTGGTAATTGGGCACTTGTTGTTCGAAATGGCTATTCCTTCACTAAAGAAGGCACGAAAAAAGAGCCTCTGGTTGGTCCTCTTTCTGGCACTCTGCACCCCATTGACCGACGCTCACACCGATTTCGTGGGTTCAGCCTGCCTCAAAGTTTCCCCCACCAAATTCCTCGACTCACTCACCCAAGTCATCGCTGTCATACGACAACTCGCATCCATTCTCTCACGCTTCACCTCTCACTTCGCCGACTTCCGCCTCGCCACCGCCGTCTCCGACTGCCTCGACCTCCTCGACCTCTCCTCCGAAGTCCTCTCCTGGTCCCTCTCCGCCACACACAACCCCACAGGTACCACTATGCCCCACATAGTTTAAAATAGAAAAACACAATAACTAAAAGAAGCAGAGAGTTTAATTACAATGTTGGCTTTGCAGGGAAGCATAACAGCACGGGGAACCTGAGCTCCGATTTGAGGACATGGCTCAGTGCGGCACTCGCGCTTCCCGAGACGTGCATGGAGGGATTAGAAGGCACGAACGGCATTGTGAAGGGTTTGGTGTCTGGCGGCGTAGGGCAAGTGGTGTCGTTGGTGGAGCAGCTTCTTGCGCAGGTGCTTCCCGCAGAGGATGAATTTGGAGACGGCAAGGGGAAGGGGGAATTTCCTTCGTGGGTTAGGCCTAACGATAGGAAGCTTCTGCAAGCGAGTGGAGTGGCTCTGGCTCCTGATGCTGTTGTGGCTGCGGATCGGAGCGGCAACTACGCCACCATCACTGATGCGGTGCTTGCGGCACCGGATTACAGCATGAAACGGTTTGTCATTTATATAAAGAAGGGGGTTTACGTAGAGAACGTCGAGATCAAGAAGAAGAAATGGAATATCATGATCGTTGGAGATGGGATAGATGCCACCGTTATTTCCGGTAACCGGAGTTTCATCGACGGTTGGACCACTTTCCGATCACCTACATTCGGTAACTATGCATGCCACCTTTACTTTTTTTTTTTTTAAAAGAAGCATAGGATATATGGTGTGAAATTTAAAATTTGCATTGGGTTTCGATGGAATCTTCTAGTTCGAAGCCTAAAGTTGATCGCCTACGATATATAGGGTAATAGCTACCGTGATGCATGACGGCAACTTTTTACCATGACCATACTTTTCTTTTAAATATTTTTGTAACACTATCATCATATCATGTTCAATAGAAAATATTAACATTTATTTCTTTCTCTTAAATTGCCTAATATTTGAGTATTAGTGTTTAATATTTGATTCTCTATAATTTAAAATTTCTTTGTTATTTTTTTATGAAGTACTATAATTTTTTATATATAAAATGACCGTAAAAAAATATTAAGTAACTGTTTTTTAATGAATTTTTTTTAATTTCAAAGACTAAACAATCTCAAAGATTAATTTAAATATTTTATTTTTTAAAAAAATAATTTTAGAAATTGTAAAGTTCTCACGTTATTTTTTAAAAGACGAACATGAAACTACTATTAAAGTTTGAAATCAAAGATCAGCACAATGACATAGTTGTATTTCAGTGTGTGTGTGTGGGTATATGGTTGATGGAGTATTATTCTTCAAAGTTAAGTTTATTTTGCATCACGCTGTACTTTCCTGTTACAAATAACTATTTATTACTGTTGAGTGTTGAGTTGGAATATTTTATTAAATATTAATAGGTTATTTTTTCGTAATAAATAACTGAAAATTCACTTTGCATAACTAATAATTAATGAGTTATACACTGTTTATGAAAACCGAAAGATGCTGATATATTAAAAAAAAAAAAAAAGAGTAGTAATTGCCATGCAATGGCGATAGGGACCCTTTATGTTACTTTTTAATTCTTAGAATATCTTAACCTTTAAAAATGTATTTAATTTCTAACAAAATCTTAGCAGAAAATATAACTAAATTAATTATTTTGAGCGGCAGATTATCCAGATTAAATCACTATAGCTATGATATCTTAATTTTCTCAAGGTATTGGTATGGAAAAAAATAATAATATCGATACGTGAGTGTACATGTTGATAATAATTTTATATAAAATATTTACAAGTGCTTCGCAACCAACCAGGATTACGATATTGAGAAATTTTGATTATTGGAGTAATCCACGACAGAATAAACAAAAAAAAAAATAGAGTTATAGATAAGGTGTAGGTCAGCTAGTAGAGTCAATGATGACAGGGGTTTCATTTTCATCCCCAACATAACTCTTAATGGATCAACACAAAACATGAGTGCAGCAGGTGAGAGCTGTTCTGATTAGGAACAATCACTTCTGAACACACAAATGCTTAAATATAATTTGGACTCATAACAACTTTGAACGGTAAGTAGGGCCTCGAAATTTAATCACATTAGCTAAGTAGCTCATAATTAACATTAAATAAGCACGTGCCGCAATTAAAATTCTTAAACCCGTCTTATTCAACGATTGAAATGTGAAACCAAATTCTCATTTGTACTTGTTTTTGTGTAGCGGTGAGTGGCAGAGGATTCATAGCAAGAGACATTTCCTTTGAGAACACGGCAGGGCCGGAGAAGCACCAAGCAGTGGCACTAAGATCAGACTCTGACCTCTCCGTGTTCTACCGATGTGGGATTTCGGGTTACCAAGACAGCCTATACACCCACACGATGCGCCAATTCTTCAGAGAATGCAGAATCAGAGGCACAGTGGATTTCATCTTTGGGGACGCCACTGCCATGTTCCAAAACTGCGCAATAGAGGCCAAGAAAGGGTTGCCAAATCAGAAGAACACGATCACAGCTCACGGAAGAAAAGACCCAAATGAACCAACCGGTTTCTCCTTCCAATTCTGCAATATCAGTGCAGATTCGGACCTTGTAGGGTCAGTTAGCACCAGGCAAACGTACCTGGGAAGACCATGGAAGAGTTATTCGAGAACCGTTTTCATGCAGTCGTACATGAGTGAGGTGATAAGAGCAGAAGGGTGGTTGGAGTGGAATGGGAACTTTGCATTGGACACGTTGTACTATGCTGAGTACATGAACACTGGACCAGGTGCAGGAGTGGCTAACCGTGTCAAGTGGCCAGGGTACCATGCATTGAATGATTCAAGTGAGGCTAGTAACTTCACAGTCACTCAATTTATTGAAGGGAATTTATGGTTGCCTTCTACCGGAGTAACGTATACCGCTGGATTCACGGCTTAACAGAAACGCTTGCCAAATCATGGCATCCTTGTACTTATATCAAAATTATTACATATTCAAGGTGGTTCTTTATATCAGAAAAAAAAATTATTAAAAAACAAAAGGTGAATTGGGCCCGTGTTCAATTTAATTAACGAGTACTTGTTGATTATTTAAGATTTTCCTTTTTTGGTTATTGGAGGGTACCTAGGTGTTTTTTGGATTTTGGAGAAAATGGATGTGTGCAGCTTCACCTGAGTTTTAAGGAGGTGTCATGTTTATATTTAAAATTTTCAAGTTTAATTAGTATTTTTCTTAAATACATCTTTATTTAACATATATATTATCAGTAATACAAATATCAATAATCAATGTATTAAACCAAAATATTTTAGTTTGAATATAATAATATTTTATTTTCATTAAATATTTCTTAATTTATGTACATTAATTTTAAATATTTAAATATATGAGGAGGTAGTATATGTAGTTAATTCCAAAGAGGAGCAAATTCATACTTGTACAATGATTTAAAACATTTAGCGTTTAAAGACTAATGTGCATTTTCTAAAGAAATATTTAATGTAGTATACTACTTATAAACTAGTATATTTGATCTAAAATATTTTTATTTAATATGTATTATAAGATTAGCTGTGATGTAAGACATAATTGGTAAATCTTATAAAAAAAAGGGGGGGAATATAAAAAAGAAGTAGTAAATATAATGAGAATTGAAATTTGTAAAATATTAATAGTGTAAAAAAAATGATCTTCACAAATGTAACTAAGTTGAAATAGATACATTTATTAAATGGGGTTCTATTCTCTCACGGAGCCAAACATTCCTGCCATAATTTTGGTGATGGGTTCATGATGGCGGTCGATTTGTTTTATATCACAAGAGGGATTTTTTTTCTTTTGATGATTGTGTATTCTTTTCTTTCTATTTGGTCTTCCTTCCTTTATTATGCATTTCAAGATATCAAACTTGATATGATTTTTGATAGAGAAATTCTATGGTACCCATGTTATTTGAGAGAGAAATTCTATGGTACTCATGTTATTTGAGATGATACTGGTACAGATTTTTATATTTTATATTTTTAATAATTTATTTAAATAATATTTATGATATTTTATTTTTTTAATTTTTAAATTATTTGGTCATTTTATTTTTATTTTATATATTCTAATTTATTTGTAATAATATTATTATATATTTAACTAGTTTAATTTTAATAATTTTTTAAGTATATTTTTATCTTTTCACTTAAA